TCTCTCCATAAATCACCCTGTCAAGCTGCTTTGGTGAAGGCAACCCAAAAGGACCATGCTCAACCGGGTCAAGTGCATACCAAATATAGTTATGGTCTTAGACACTAATCTAACAATCTCCCACTTGGATAAGTCCAATAAATATAGTGCAAGTACAATCCGATTAGCAATCGTAGCTCTCAAGGATGTTGTTGAACTCTGATCTTATCAGTAACTTGTCCTTTAGATAAGGGATCATATAGTACTCCGTTCTAGATATTGTGCGGACAATTACATGGAACATAGTCATACTTATTGTTCAATAGTTTGTTTCTCGGTCTCTGATTTGTTTGACATAGAACTTAATTGAACACAACAATTCAGTCCTGAACGGGCCCGACACATAAGTCAAACCAAATCATTGAGGGGCCCAGATATCGCTATTACCCTCTTAGGATAAAAGCAATAGATAAACTTCAGCTTATATACATTTACCATTCACTCATTGAATCATACACAACAATGTGTTTTATAACATCGAGTTTCTAATGCGTTTACGCATTATCAATGCACAACTAACTCGCAAGCAATAAATCATATATCTAACTTTTAAGACTATATGATATTATCGTCTTACGATCACTCGAGATAACTTCCATGAAGTGATACTAGTAAGCGCGGGTTTATTCCAATGCTCAAATCTTAATTCATAAGCACTTATGAGAGTTGCAACAAACCTTTGCTATGTCTAATACACTTTAGACAATCTACACACCAATTCATGACAGTCTTCTTTCATACCTACTTCCAACATATGAACGATTGTGGACTGTCCGAATAATCTTATTATTCAGGAAGTCAAAACATGCAAAACGAAAAAAATAGGTAAATAATCAACATAAGACAGTAACTTTAGGGTAAAGACCCATCCCGACTGCGTTCGGTAGTTATCCCTATCAGTCTGAAAACTAGCATCACTATACCCTCGTACCCTTAAGTCATCACTCCCACCGAGGACTAGAAACTATTCCTTGGTCCTCCGAAGGTACTTATGAATATTCTTTACTGCGCTCTAATGGGCTCTACCAGGGTTCCCTTGATATCCGCTGACCATGCTCAAAGCCAAGGCCATATCAGGATTGATTTGCCTCCCACTATCACCTTGGCTTATGAGTTCTCGCTCTCGAAAAACCCCTCTCCTCGCAACAAACACAACATTGTCACTCGGTCTTTAGAGGAGATATCCAAAGGACTTCTACAGGTAGCCGATGAAAATACATCGTTCATTACGAGGTTCGAGCTTTTTGTGAGTCTCTCTTCTTACAAAAGCCTCGCACCCTTAAACCTTGATATGTGCCAACGAGTGAACTTTCCCTGTCCACATTCTGAGGTGTTTTGGCAACCTTCTTGGCAGGGACTAAGCTAAGGATATGGGCGACAGTCTCTAACGCATACCCCCAAAATGAGATAGGTAGAGAAGCACGACTCATCATGGAACGAACCATGTCTAGCAAGGTTCAATTATCCCTCTTCGCCACACCATTCAAATGTGGTGTCCTAGGTGGTGTCAATGCGAAATAATTCTGCATTCCTTGAGGTAGTCGTAGGATTCAAGACTTACGTACTCTCCACCTCGATCGGATCGAAGCATCTTGATTTTCCTGCCCAACTGATTCTCCACTTCTTGTTTAAATTCTTTGAACTTTTCAAAGGTTTCTGACTTGTGCTTGATTAAGTAGATATACCCATATCTGCTATAGTCATCGGTGAAAGATGACTAAGGGACGATGACGTGTGTGAGTCTTGTTTACTTGGAAAGATGACCAAGTCACCCTTCACTGGTACTTGTGAAAGGGGTGAGGGTTTATTGGATCTCATATACATTGATGTGTGTGGGCCCTTTTGATCCACCACAAGGGATGCGAAGGGCTACGTGTTTCTTGTTGACATGTCCAAGACGACAATGCCACAAGCATGCTTTATCCAAACTATTGGAAGAATCTATACACAACACATCATTTCCTAAATTATCTACAATGATCACAGTTTCATACATTCCATTACAAGGTAATGCTTCAAAATAGAAAACACCATTAAGATAAGCATTAATAAAACCCTTTTCATTATCAAATGAATATCTAAATCCTTTTCTATATACCATGAAAAGAAATGATGTTTCTTGCCATATCTGGCGAATAGCAACAATTATTTAAATCTAATCCTAATCCATTACTAAGCACTAAAGAGTAAACTTCAATCTTGGTGACAGGCGACGATCTTCTGCTCACCATGATCAAGTTTATCTTCCCATGCTCCACATCCCTATTTCTTCTTAGGCCCTGCAAATAAGAACAAATGTGAAAACCACATCTTGTATCAAGAACCCAAGAAATCGCATGTGTTGAATCATTATATTTAATAGTGTAAATACATGCGAGGTATGGCTTTATCTTTCCGTCCTTGACACTCTGCCTCCTTGGGGTTGGAGTTGGGTTTAGTAGGACCAACCTTGGTTCCGCTAGAAGAGGTACCATCACAGGACATTCCCTTACGTTTGCTCTTTGAGGTTGCTCTCAGCAAGCCTTGAAACTTGATCAAAGTGACCTCCTCCTTGTTCATGTGTTAGGTCATCTGTAACTGGTTGCATCTTTTGCAGATGAGCAGTAAGGGACTCACCATTACCCATTTTGGCGTGATCATCGAAGTGATGATCTCGTACCTCTCTTTCCTAATGCTTTAGTGGTACCGGTCCAACAGATCTTGATGCATCTCTTCTTCTCTTGGAGCTTAGAGTTACAAATGTCACTCCTCTAATGTCTTACAAACAACACAAGCAAGATTATGATATTGGTGAGAGGGGAGGAGACACAATTTCGGGTATGAACTCTTCTAGGGTTTCCAGTGGCCGAAAAATGATGCCCTAGGGGTCTATTTATACTTGTACTGCTAGGGTTTCAGTCAAAACCGTAATGGATAGCTTAGGCCTTAAGTAGTGCAAGGAACCTTCTAGAATAAGGCCTCCTTGGAATAATTCAAGATGGGCTTCATCTTAATTTCATCCATGCCTTAGTCGATAAGGATTCTCAACCCAAAACTCAATTATCTTATAATTGTAATCCAGTCCCCTATATTCAGTTAATCTCTTTTAGCTACCAAATTAATTCTTAACTAATGCATGACTAATATTAATTAAATAATATGATTTCTCTTTTAATATATTATTCTCATAATATACTAATAAACCATAATATCCTCTCTCTCTCTCTCTATATATATATATATATATATATATATATATATATATATATATATAAATCACCATGTCAAGCTGCATTGGTGAAGGCAACCCAAAAGAACCATGCTCAACCGGGTCAAGTACATACCCAATATAATTATGGTCTTAGACACTAATCTAAAAAAACCTTCATAAATAAACCATTCGTAATGTCCTATAAAACAATATATATGGAATGTAAAAGCTTTCATAATTAAACCATTAGTAATGACATTATATTTCCTTGGATGTTGTGGCAATTAGTTTACATAACATGCACTTTATATAAAACTTATCTGGAATGCGTTGTTGATTTAAATATATGGCCAGTCTGGTATGTACTCATTTTAGTGCAACATGTCTAAAGATTGAAGGATAATTAGTTAAATATCCTAGCAGATGTAAAAATACGTTTTAAATAAAATAATTAAACTTCTGTCCACATGTCAAGAAAAGCATGTATAATTCTAAATGCAACTTCAAGATGATCATGTTTTGTCATAATCATGTCGATCTCCCAATCCACTCCACCAATCTATTTTTCTGCTAACTTCAATTTTTTTTATTAGTACCTCGTGTCTAATTTAAGCATATCTTTCAACCTACTAAGGTAATGTATAAACATTCATGAAGTATCCAACTCTTTTGTCGTTAAATTATTAGTCCTTTACAACTTCCACCACTGCTTGAAATATATTATCGAGCATCTTACCTAGTTGTGGTCCACCACGATAGAAGTCAAGATGATCTACGGTGACTTCTAGAAATAGGTTAAGAGGGGAATAAGAAGAACAACCTTCATTGTTACAATTGCACATATCATCTTCATATATTGTTGTAACATGCTTAGATGAGCTCGTGTTTATATGAAAATGAAAGAATTACTTAATCTGGTAGTAGAGTGAATGAATTAGTTCAGATAATGTTTGAATAAGGGAATGTTAGGGTTAACATTTTTATACACTAGTTGAATAAGGCGTAGGTATGAATTAAAGATTGGCATGTGAATTCTTAATGGTATGTTTAGCCTATGATGTACAACTTCACGGTTCAAAATGCATCTTAATAGACATGTCACATTTTCAGACCACACTATATCGGGTTAGAATAGTAAAAACAATCTAAAATGTAAACTACACAGTGCATAATGAAATTTTACAAACTCAACGATCATTCCCCCAAATCTATAAATAGTAGGTTAAGTCGGATAATTGATTCAATTCTGCTTGTCATTTTTCTCAATACCTATGTATATTATTATATTGTTATATATGTAATGAATTAAGTGTAATTAATGTAACTTTAAATCAAACAGTCTTTCCGATTAATTTAGGCAAAAAGATATTTTTAAACCTGAAAATATGTCTATTAAACGGGAACTAAGTTGTAAATAAAAGGGTCATGTAACATTTGAAATTGTAATTAAATGTCTCACAGTTTCACTCTCACGTCAAAGGAACAAGGATGTAAATTATATAAAAATGACATAAATACAACATTTAAGAATTCCATTAAATATCTCAAGACCATCTTTAAGGTCTTTACCAATTTGTCTTTAAATTATTTAAAACCACCATATTTGGGGTGGGGGGGCTATGCACCTTCCTACCCCCTCAGCCTAGTACATCAATAATACATTATAACATAAAATATCAATGTTTCTTATTCATGATTTAATAATTTAATAAAATACATTAACTCATGATAGAACTTGGATCGTGGTTTTTCCATATCTACATTGAGAACATATTATATAAAAAAGTGATTTTTACCAAACTCGGAACTCGTTTTTTAACCAGTCTAACCCAATTATTTGATAGAATTCATATTTCTTTTTACAATGCAAACGTGTTGCATACTATATGCATCTCATTGGCTAGTCTACAAAAATCAACTAGTCATGAGGGAAAGTTAATCAACAATCTATTTTAAATTCAAAAAGAGTAAATGTGAATATATACGCTCACGGCTCACTAAATCTAAAAGCTCCATAAAGACTCGTCAACAAAAATTTCGACGTCATCCTCATAACTGCTATATCCCACCGTCTGCGGAGGCGCTACCATCAGTCCCTCCGCCATGCTGACAAAAAATTCCGGCATCTCGAAAATATCTTCTTCATCCACGTAATAAAGACTTTCCGGCAACTCCTTCGTTTCAACAATCTCCACCTCTTCCTCGGACTCCATGTATCTAAAAGCCTCCGCAGCTTCTGCAGCGGCCTTTTGTATATCTACTATACTGCTAGACTTCGGGACCGGCAGCCGCCACACAGAATCAGCAAAATTCAAACACGCCCGTCGCCCTCTGAAGGCAAACGCCGCCACATCATGTGCTCTTGCTGCCATTATAGCTGTAGGATGAGTCCCTAGCCACACCCTCATGTTCTTGTTCGGCTCTCTTAATTCACAAACCCATTTCCCGTTATCCCTCATTCTCACTCCCCTGTAAACTGGGTGTCGAGTCTCTCTGAACTTCTTCCTTCCGGCCTTCTTCTTCGGGTTTCGTGAAGCCAGCATCACTTCTGATTCAGCAGCCGCATTCAAGACTGCACTTTTGCGACGATTTGAGGTCAAAAAGTGTGCTAATGGAACACTTTCTGATGATACGGATGGAAATGGGTTGTAAGATTCGATAAAGGCATCCATACGCTGGTAGTGTGACAAATATATGTGGTGAAGTTATGGTTGTTGGTAGTTTCTGGAAGTTAACTATAAGCTATGACTTATGAGTTATGAGTGAAGTAATTGTTTGTTGGGAGTGTTTGTGAGTGACTTTAACTTGTTGATATGAGAATGGCGATGTATATATAGATTTTTGTGGAGCACTTTGTGGTAGGGTTACCAGCTGGTAGTTTGCGTGGTAGACGAAGGAAGCTTTGACAGGTGGCTTTACTTTTATCTTATTTTTAACGCGTGATATTTAGTAGGGTAAATTAAGAACTGTCCCTATAGTATTGGGTACCTTACAGCTTTGGTCCAACAGATTCGAAGGTAGTACTTGATGTAAAAAATAGTTTTGTGTAAAATCAATGCCTAGTTTTATACATCCGTTTAACACTTACACAACACATGGTAAGTTTTTCAATCTATTTTACATCCAATATAAATAAAACCCAGCAACATTTTTATTATCAGGCTAGCAAAGAGCTAGAAACCAATTATACATAAATAGTTAAAATTGTGTTTTGAAACCGCTTAACCCTATTAGCATGAACCTTATTGTTTGTATGCAGGAACATATAAAAAAACAATCAACAATGCTATTAAATAACAAGTCTTTAATCGGAGACGTATCACCAAATAAAAAACTATTTCGGTATCTCCCAATCACCCAAATCACCGTCTCCACAATCAAATTCAAAGCTTTCTTTCGATTGGTAGACATGCGTACCACATCCACCCAAGAAAATAACTCATGAATCGTATCCAAACCCGAAAACGCCAAATCAACTCATCTGAACACTCTTTGTCAAATATTGGCCGCCAACTTGCATTTTAAGAAAATATGTTCAATAGTTTCCACATGCAAAGAATAGGTAGCGCACGACAACAAATCAATATCCACGCTTTTTCGAATAAAATTTCATTCCGTAGGTAATTTATCTGTAACGTCCATGTTTCTAGACTAAGCATTAATGTGATGATGTAATAGTTAGGATCAACCATTGTAACCCACTTTGAAGTAATAAATAGGAATTACTATAATATTATGTGAATTATGTGATTTTATGTGCATTATACTTATTTATCAAATATAATAAATTAAGAGTAAAACGTCAAAAGTAAACTTGTAGATAAACCCAATATCAATGAAGAAAGTGGTAGTGCTCGTGACAATGACCCCGAAAATATAAAGAACGCCAAAATTCGAGTTATAAATAAGAAGTTATGACCTGTCGAAGTTTTACGGCATAACCGACACACCACTGGTAATCGTAAAAAGTGAATTTTTGTCAAACTTCTTTTTAGCCTTAGGTAACTAGATGAAAGTTGTAGCATACATTAAAACGAGATCGTGCATAAAAAGAACGCCAAAATCTGACTTCGTATGTGGAAGTTATGATTTTTCTAAGATTTTGTATATCAGTATCCAACCCGAAATTCGAATTTCAAATAGATCGATTTTTAGCCGACATAACCTAATTGAGAATTGAATATCTCATTAATACGAGCTCAACGATAAAAGAACAGTCGAAAACGGAGTCAGTAGGTAGAAGTTATGAATTTTATACGGTCGTTAACAATGTAATATTCTCATAATGTTAAATTTAAAATCGGCCGATAATTAGCCGACAGAGTCTAAAGGAAACTTGTCAACAGACAATACAGAGTATTCCAATGGAGATCAATTCCATGGAAAAGAAGTCTCATATTTAAAATACATTGCTTTGAACATCCTTCTTGCATTAAATTTTCTAATCTTACCCAGATTAAATAACTTCCACCTATGGAGACATCTCCGTATTCCCATTTTGTCTACCACTTCTGAACAAGAGTTGCCTCTTTCAGAATATGTCAAATATGGTCCTTCCAAAATTACCACTATACTTCCAACTGTCCATGAACAACCACTCTTTGGTAAACCTTAGATTTTCCTCGACAATTGCTTAATCATTTTATTCATGTCCAATTCTAGATTTATTCCTCTTAATGTCGTAGGCATTTGGAAAATTTAGAAAGGATAAATATTATAGCACATGTAATCGATCCTATACCCAAAGCATATGGGACACAATTCATGATGTCTCACATAAAGACATGATCCTAGACCAATCTTTTGCTACAATATTTTTTATTTGCCACGTTTTCATAATTCGACTATGAAATGGGATGTCAAAATCATAATCGAATTTTGAAAACGCAATATATATAGAATTCCCTTAAGTTTAGCCATTCCAACATAAAATTCATATACATATATATATATATATATATATATATATATATATATATATATCCTTGACTAAAGATGATTAAAATCTTAATCAAAGCTTTTAGAATTGAAATGAAGTATAATTTCCTCTCCTTTAATTATAGCAAAACAACTTTTCCCAATTGAAACTTTTGTTTTCTATAATTAACATTACTAACATGCAATATTTATCATAATTATCATGTTCCCACTAACATGATGATTATTAGCATAATACTTATGCTCCCACTAGCTTTGATATGTCTCCAGAAATCAGCTAGACTTTTAGAAATCAATACTTTGTTAACTTTCTTACCAAATTTCAGACTTCTGATATGAGATGCTTTGATAAAACTTTTTCAAAATCATACACCTTTCTCACAAGTCCATGTTAGTGTGTCAGTTAACCACACACGCTCCACTAATGACTTTGAGAATGCAAATATCATAATTGCTATCTACATAAAATATACTGAAAGCGTTTCCTCACCATCATTTTCATGAATTAGAGAACAACCTTATGAAACTTAGATTTTATGGTGTATGTGTTCCTATCAATGTGAATTTTGTCAAAACCATAATCACAAGACAAGGTTAGTGACAAATCCAAACTCATATGGACTGAACTTGTGAAACTTTTTGATTCTTCCTTCTCTCAGATCTTTCAGCTAGTTAGGGTAGCTTCGCAACTAATGTCCCTTCCTTTGGAAATAGAAACAAATGGACCATTTGGGAATGGTACACAGGACAATCTCATACTTAGCATTTCTCTTTACCATTTGGTCAACCGAGTTGACTATGGCTGATCCCTTTCCATTGGGAAGAGAAAGCTTTTCTAGATTTCCAATGTTACCATTGTCAATGTCCATGGAAGTTTGGGAAGTCAATCTTCCAAGATGTGAGCACACATAGACATTGCTTGCCAGTAGGTTAGGGAGAATAATTGGAGGAGGTGGAGGAAGAGAAGTATGATTTCCATGATTCAATTGCGGGACATTATCTTCATTACGAAAGATTGTTCCAAGAGATTTGGGAAGATCATAGTTGTCTAAACTAGACATCTACAATGGGAGAAATTCAAGTTAGTTGATTCAAGTCCTTAATATAACACCTAATATGAAATATTAAGGCTAGGACCCAACACACTATTTTATAACTTGGAAGATGGATGTCGTAATCCAACCTACAAAATGTTTGAAGGTAGGTGAATGACGATTCACCAATTTCCACAATGAAAACCGAAATGTATTATTAGGTTGTAATTGGTTTTGAAACTCCTAAATTCTTTTGATATTCATTGAACTTTTCAATGACATGTTTCAATCTCGATTGTGCCCTCTCAAGTTTGTGACTAAGATGCCGAGGATCACAAATAATGTTTGAATAACAATGCAAATATAATTGGTACACTTAATATTTATCATTTAATCGATATGTCGGTTAACCACACGCGCTCCACCGATCTTATGATAAACATTAAGTTACCCTTTGCCTACCTTGTTAAATTCAATCTAGTGTGCCGGTTAACCACATGTGCTCCATTAACGACATAACTAAAGTGCAAAGTGTAATTTCATGGGTTAGCACCAAATTCACATTCTCCTAAAGTAACTATGATTGGGAATTTATAAAAGGTTTGGTTACTTTATATTTGTTATTATACTTATAATGAAGGAAGAATTAGAGTCTTGTCCTACCCGTTTGGATAACGACCCTCCACCAGTCAAGGAAGCGGTGGATGAGAGTGGACACTCATTAAACTGTCATTTTATAGGCAGTAACCTTATACCCCCCTTATAGATCGGCTTCGTGAATGAGACCTATTAATGGTAAGATTGACTTTGTTCTTATATATATATATATATATATATATATATATATATATATATATATATATATATATATATATATATATATATACATATATAATTAACTTATAATACAATAAAGTATAAGGGTTGAATTTTAACTTTTAAAATTCTAAGGTTTAACTTTGAATTAAAGTATTCATGAGGGGAAACTTTACAAATTCCAAAACTTGAGTGAAAATTTTGAACTATTCAAAAACTTTTGGATTTTCATAACTTATGAGTTTAATTAAGGTTTTAAAAAGATTAATGAGGAGACTCTTGAACATCCATAACTTGAGGACAAGTTATGGAATTCATAAGACAAAAAAAGACTCTTCAATTGTGTAACCTATGAATTTTAATGGATCTTTAAAAGAAATGACTTTTGGTGATCCATAACTTAAGGAAAAATTATGGACTCCATTAAAACATTTAGATCAAGAATTAACTAACAAACAATTTTGCAAATAATTCCTATGATCTACTAAAACTCATAAGTGTATGAACAATCATATCAATAATTTCAAGAATTACATAAATACATATAAAACATGAAAATTTAATAATAACCTTGAAATTGTTTTACCATAATCATTACCACATGAAAAATAGGTTTTTATAAGTCAAAAACATTTGAAAGTAATGATTCTAGACCAATTACAGCCATAAAACTCGAAGATATGCTGTCAGGAGGTCCAAATCATCGAGTGCATGAACCAACTCGACGAGTTGGACTAATTTAGGCATGGACTCGTCGAGTCCCTTAATGGACTCGACGACTCAGTTGTCCAGACGGCATACAAACTTCGATTTTCAGCAATTTGCATCAAGTATAAATGAAAACAAGCCTAGACTCTGATACCACTGATGAATTTTGAGCATTCTAACACTCCTAAGGGGTACATGCAACCCTATAAACCTTGGATCTATGTTTTCTCTATTATACATGCAAATATTTAATATTCCAAGCTTTTAATCCTAACTAGCATAATATGAAGTAACTATACTACAAAGCCTAGATAGATGACATACCTTTTGATGGAGCTTGAAGTCTTGGACCTTTAAGAGCATAGTTCCCCAAGTGTTGCACCTCAAATATAATCAC